ACTGTTAACAACATTCGATATTGTTTTATTTTATTTTGTTATTGTAAAAACAACAAAACAACAAATGAAATTGTTTTAAAATAAACAATGCCGAATGTTGTTAAAAAGTTACAAAATAGGCCTACAGGAAGTAAAATTTGGTCAAAATCAGAAATTTTCGACTTATAATTTTTTGTCCTATTATGTTATTATCAGTAATTATAATAGTTACCAGTTCACAAATTCCGCTAACGTCTACTGCTTTCCATCTCTCCATTGTCATGTTCATACACATTGGAATAAAATTTGGGTAAAATGAAAATTTATTGGCATTATATTTTTTACATTTTGTCATTTAAAAAAAAAAAAAAAAAACATTTGCATGAGTAATAATTGGGAGATATCCAGAAGCGAAATGCGGATGATGGATTAGAAGTTATAATAATCTGAAATCTGTGGTGGGTTATCATCATAGCTGACCTGAAAACAAAATGTGTCCATTACATGAGAAATTAAGATTAATTGATCAAACGGATATTACTAAAAATATTATTTCGAGGATGTATAGAGGAAACTACTAACTCAATAGCCACAAATTCTGTCTTCGGACTTGAAATTGGTTTCCTAAAAATACCAAAGGTATGTACAGTTATGAACATGATACAACCATGAGTTAAGAAGAAGACTAAATCTAGGTTCGTTAAAAATATTTTATTGGTCTTTGAACGATTAATGCAAAACATGTGAATATTGTAGACAATATATTAGTGCATAATCCTATTGAGACAAGTCAAGCCAAGTTATAATACCATATGTTAGTCAATGATTATTTAAAAATGTATTTCTAATCTACTGAATCAAATCAAATAACGTATACATTAACCAGCTGCTACGGTATTAGTACTGATACATTACACTTCGAAATATATATAGTCGAACAATCATTGGGGTCGAATCAATAAATAGTAGAATTTAAACTACATACAAATAGTTTTCTACGTGAACTATTCTATGTTAATCACTTTAGTAGGGGCAGTAAAGCGTCACGGGACCAACTAGTTTAATAATAAAAATTGCAAAAGAAATTTCGGAAAATGATTTTTCTTAACTAAACAAACGATATTCAAAATACCGACTTGGTGTCATTATTAATAATTTTTAGTCCCGAGATGTGTTATACCGTTATGAGATCCCAAAATAGTGGGGGTACCATATTATGTCAGTCAATATTAATAATTTTTGACACAGATATGTGTTACTCAACCCAAAAAACCAAATTAGGGCCAATTCGGCGGAAAAACGTGTCCAAAATCCCTAGAATACTTAATACTGAGGGGTACCGTTACATAGGGGATACCCGGAAACTTGGGTTAATATTAATAATAAAATTTGGACCAATGTTGCCTTTTTTTCTGCAAAAATGTGTTTTACACTCCACTGCCAAATTACAGCCACTACCATGGGAAAATGAGTCTAAAACCTGTAAATTCTGACACTGTTATATATATGAATGTCATCCTTTATGTAAATCCACATCGGTGGAAACAGTGGCCGATTATAGGTCAACAGCTCCACTTTCTAACCCTGGCATATTTTCCAAATGTTGTTTTCCGAGGTGAATATTTACGCCATAAAATAAAAATCTGGTAACATTATGTTTTGGTTGATTTGACACTCGGAATATCATCACTCGAAATATCATCATTTAAACAGTCGTTCTAAGTATTTAGTCGGATTCACTTCACCGTTTAAAATAAGTGAGGTTCTGCATATAAGTTTTCGGTTCATTGCACCCTCTAAATATCATCTAAACACCGCCGAAAATTATAAGCGTCGTCATTGATCATAACTGGAACTTCATGTAAAATTTCAAAGCAATCAGCATGAAATTTCCGCCCTCTAGTGGGGTAATAATAATACTAAAACAATATCATAACACATAGATACATTTAAATATTTAACTCCCACATCCAAGTACATACAACAACATAATTGGTATCAACATGTCGGGTCGGGTCTATGTCCTTTAGAATGAAATACATACGCCATAGAATGCAAATTTTTCACACAAAAGTTATGGCCCATTTGACCCGCTAAATATTGACCGATATTCTTCAAAGTAGGCATGTTTTTTTTTGCCCTATCCCCTTCTTCATGTAAATTAAGTATTTGCTCCATTTCATCCCCTAAATATTAAGCGATCTTTACAAAAAATGGGTGTATTCATTGGTCAGAACCGGTCCTACATGCATACAAAATTTCGTGAAGATTTGTCCATAAATATAGCCTGTATCGTGATTACACATTATAATGGACAGACGGACCGGCGGACCGGCGGACGGGCACACATGCCTACATCGACTCAGCTAGTCGAGATATGACAATCGGTATACTTAAAGGACTATCTAGGACTAATATTTCGCGGCGTTACAAACTCTTGGGGCTGCACAAAGCTATAATATCCTGACAACAAAGTTGTGTAGAGTATAAAAAACAGAATTCAGTTTTTTGAAAACGAGAATGGTGGGTCCCCTTAAGGAGAATTGTTGCAGGTCTTTTTAAGATACTTTATTTCAGAAATTGAATCTTCCTGAAAAGGGTTTCTGGCATCTATCCATACCAAATAATCAGCCCAATCATGAATACTAAATCCATAAATAATTTTTCTCTTTTCATTTTCTTTGTGTCATGAATAAAAATTCCGCAAGAAAAATCAATCCTCAAAGAAAATAATAGGTATCTGAAGCAAAGCGCTTCAGAAAAAAAAAACTCGCTTACAAAACTGACGGGAGTTTCCGAAGAAATTTTGATGAAAACTTATAAAATCAACACTTTTTACTAGATTTTTGTTAGCAAAAGACGTCATTAGAAATGCATGTCCGTCCGTCCATGTATTTTGGTTAACAAAGTACAGGTCGCATTTATGATCCGATTTGGATGAAATTTAGCACAGGTCACTTAATTGGCTCAAGGGCGAACCCTATTGAAATTGGGAAAAATCGGTTCAGATTTAGATATAGCTCCCATATATATTTTCGTCCGATTTAAGGTAAATGGTGTACCAAAGTCCCTAAATATCTTTCGATTTGGACGTAACATGACACAGCGTAATGAATAGGGTCTAGAATGATGTGTGTTAAGTTTCCTGAAAATCGGTTCAGATTTAGATATAGCTCCCATATATATCTTCGTCCGATTTAAGGTAAATTGTGTACCAAAGCCCTATATATCTTTTGATTTGCCCGAAATTTGGCATAGCGAAATGAATTAGGTCTATAATGATGTGTGTTAAGTTTCCTAAAAATCGGTTTAGATTTAGATATAGCTCCCATATATATCTTCGTCCGATTTAAGATAAATGGTGCACCAAAGTCCCTATATATCTTTCGATTTGCACGAATTTTGGCGATTTTCACGTTAAGTTTCGTGAAAATCGGTTTGGATTTACATATACCTCTTATATAAATTTTCGTCCGATTTAATGTAAATGGTGTACCAAAGTCCCTATACATATTTCGATTTGCACAAAAATTTGGCATAGTGTACTGAAATGAGTCTGTAGTGATGTGTGTAAAGTTTCCTGAAAATCGGTTCAGATTTATATATAGCTCGTATTTTTCTTCCGATTTTATGTAAATTGTGCACTAAAGACCAAAAGTTTCTCCGATTACCACACAATTTTGTACAATAAACTATATTTAATATAAGTTAACCTCTGCCATTCTCATTAAAATCGGTTCAGATTTTGATATAGCTTCTACATATATATTTTTGTCCGATTTTACACAAAATTGACACAAATTTAGGTAATTTTGTCCCATTGTAAGAAGCAACCTTATATCTGAACAAATGAAAAATTTAGTATAGGTTGCAGAATTCGACGTCTGTTAGCATTCATCTGTTGAATATACCCAAAGTGGTGAAGGGTATCACATAGTCGGCCCCGCTCGACTTTCCCTTCTGATTTTTCTTTGTAAATATTGAAAAAGCAACGAAATATAAATCAATATTTTTGTGTTTGATGTTAATGTCGTTTTATAAGGCTTAACCTCTCAAGCGGTTGGTTCTTTGAACTATAACTTATCGGAGATTTGGTATCTTCAATGACATTCGCAATGTATTCCACATAAGAAATTCATATTTGCTTAAATAAAAAAAAAAACAAATCAGCGTATTCCTCCATTTTCGAACGGTCTTGTGGCATAAATAACCGTCCATCGACCAGTTTCATTTCGGCTTACTACATGCGTTGAATGTGCTGAATAATTAAAAATCAAAAATTAAAGTATCATCAAAACTCGAATAAATGCTTTTGGGATTTTAAAATTCTAAAAATTCAATTCAAAAATTCATTCTTGGTGTTCCTGCTACGTGACATCTTTTATTTTAAAATGAAAAAAAGAAAACAAATTCTCGTATCTAAAATCCTTTTATAGACAGACATTCATAGCCATTTCACTTGCTCTTAAATCTAATGTACAAATAGAAAATATAAAAAAGAAGATTTATCCAACCTCAATATACATTTCATATTAATGTCGAAAATGTCCATAACATAATATAATCCCGTCTTACGTAAAGGAAGACAAAAAATAAATATAAAACCTTAACCCTCTTACAATACAATATAGGGAAATAATATAACTTCATCGATAGAAAAAAAATTCTAAAGAAATACGGAATCTTCCACATCATTAAACATTTTTCAAATCAAAAAAAATATATAGTGCACACGACGGTTTTTATATGTAAAAAATTTGAAAGCATCTCAATTTGAACCCCGTTATGGGTTAAAACTGTACAAAAACAACTGTTCTTGTTTTAAATGCCACAACCACAAACCAAACTACTTCTTCTACTCTCGCTCTCCATCCCCTCCAATCTCTGCCCTGAAGTATAATATTGTGCATTATTTTTTACTTTTTTTTGCAGTTATTGCTTTGCATATTTTATTGTTTGTTTTTATTTCTGTCCACTAGTGTTTTTTACGACTCTATGTCTTCTTTTTCCCTTGCTTACAGATAAACGCTTTGGCAAATCGTGCCGCCGGCAAAGGTTATGAAAATGAGGCATTCTATGAAAATATAAAATTCCACTTTCTCGGTATTGAGAATATTCACACACAAAGGACAAGTTTACAGAAATTGATTGAAGCCTGCGAACAGAAAGCACCAACAATGAGCGGTTTCCTTAATGCATTGGAATCATCGGGTTGGCTAAAGCATATACGCTCCATATTGGATACGTCAAGGTAAGTGGAATGGTAGTGAATTTAAGATTTGTTGCACTTGACAGTGGGTAGATAAATTAAAGAAGATGAAAATAGGAAGGAAATATCAGTCGATATCAGGATTTTTAATAGATTTTTTCATTCAATATACCGAACTTTTTATATCGTTCAAGATGAGGTGGATATTTAAAATGCCAGTAATAATTTAAATATCCCATTATAAATGCTGGGATATTTGTTAGGAAGATTCGACACCTGCCACTATGAGGTGGATATTTAAATACCAGTAATAGTTCGGGGCCTTTGTAAATGCTGGGATATTTGTAAGGAAGATTCGACACCCAATGATAACCAAATTAGAGCCATTTCGATTAAAAACTTGACCAAACTCCCTAAAATACCGAATAATGGCAAGTACCGTTGTATGGGGACTATGCTAGAATAGAGACCGATAATCATAATTTTTGGTAGGGATATTTGCTACCTAATGGAAATTCTATGTACCAAATTACAGCCAATTCGATCCAAAAACGCGCCCAAACTCCCCAAAATACCGAGATTTGGGAGGTGCCTTTATATGGGGGCTATCGCAAAAAGTGGGCCAATATTGATCATTTTTAGTAGGAATATGTGATACCCAATGACAACCCAAAATACCGAATTACAGCCAATTCGGTTGTAAAACATACCCAAACTCCCTAAAATTCCGAAATTTGGGAGGTACCGTTATTTGGCGGCTATCCTTAAAAGTGGTCCAATATTTACCAATAGGAATATGTGTTACCCAATTAAAACCCAAAATACCAAATTACAGCCAATTCGGTTCGAAAACATTCCTATAATCCCTAAAATACAGAAATGTGGGAAGTACCGTTATATGGGGGCTATAGTAAATATTGATAATTTTTGGTAGGAGGATGTGTTATCCAATGAGAACCCAAAATACCAAATTACAGCCGATACCGTTGGAAAAGCGTCAAATATCCCTAAAATACCGAATATTTAGGGGTACCGTTATATGGGGTCTATTCAAATACATGTTCCAATATACTCCAAATTCAATACCAAACATCCTGGGAGTAAACGCAATGTATGTGCAAAATTCAAAAGCTCTAATATTGGGAGCTCTATCCTGATTTTAATAGACGGGCGGACGGACAGACATGCATAAATCGACATAGAATTTTATTCGGATCAAGAATATACTTTATAGGGTCTCCGTTTTTTTATACCCTCCATCATAGTATGGAGGATATATTAGTTTTGTTTTTCCGTTTGTAACTCATCGAAATAATCATTTCCGACCCTATAAAGTGTATATATTCTTGATCAGCGATCTAAGCATGTCCGTCTGTCTGTCTGTTGTAATCACTCTAGCCTCTAAACGAATTGAGATCTTTTGTCTGCAGGCGATCAAGTTCGAAGATGGGCTATATCGGTCCACGTTTAGGCATAGCTCCCATATAAGGGTACCTCCCAATTTTCGGGTTTTTGAAGTTCTTGAGCGTGTTTTTCAACCGAATTCGCTGAAATTTAGTACTTCGAGTTCTTATTGGGTAGCAAATCTCCCCACTAAAAATTATAAATATAGGTCCATTTTTTCGGACAGCCCCCATATAAGGGTACCTCCCAATTTTCAGTATTTTGAGGTTCTTGAGCGCGTTTTTCAACCGAATTCGCTGAAATTTGGTACATTGGGTTCTTATTGGGTACCAAATGTCCCCACAAAAAAATTATAAATATAGGTCCACTTTTTCTGGTAGCCCCCATATAAGGGTACCTCCCCATTTCCAGTTTTTGGGGGGTTTTGACCGGATTTTTTCCATCGAATTGGCTGTAATTTAGTAATTTAAGTTCTTATTGGGTAGAAAATCTCTTCACAAAAAATTATAAATATAGGTCAATTTTTTCGGGTAGACCCCATATAAGGGTACACCCAATTTTGCGATATTTTGGGGGCTTAGATCGCATTTTTCAACCGAATTCGTTGAAATTCGGTACTTTGAGTTCTAATTGGGTATCAAATCTCTGTACTAAAAATTATAAATATTGGTCAATTTTTTCGGGTAGCCCCCATATAAGGGTCCCCCCAATTTTCGGTATTTTAGGGTACTTGAGCGCGGTTTTCAACGGAATTCGCTGAAATTTGGTATTTTGTAGTCGTATATGGTTACAAATCTCCCCACCAAAAATTATTAATATTCACCGCTTTTTTGGGGTAGTCCCCATATAACCCCCTTTTTTATATTAAAATAGTTATCTGATTTGTTCCGTGTGTTGCGGTTGGGTAGTAGTTACGGGGGATAGTAAATTTTTACCCTACAAAGACTATTTAGCCATCTGTTGTAAGCATTCCGCCTTCTAAAGATATTGTGATAAAAAACTCAAACATGATGATAATGAAATATATTGGCAGACATTTAGGCATCTCCTCAATATAGTGATACCTCCTGAAGGAAAGAATTGAGATAAAGAATTAAAATATTGGGTTCAATATTGGCATATACCAGTCATTAATTAGGCATAGCCCTCATATAATGATATCCCCAAATATTAACTATTTCCTACACTATGTAATCAATATTGGTCCCCTTTTAGGTATATACCCACTTTTTGGTATGTTCCCTATATTTTCATTGCATGTATCTGTCAGTATAACTATGGTGGAGGGTATCCAAAGTTCGGCCCGGCCGAACTTAACGCTTTTTCACTTGTTTTTTTTTTTTTAAATTTTTTAATATTTGTTTGCCTTTCTTCCAGCTTTATTTCAAATGTCGTCGACAAAGGTGTCTCTGTTGTGGTTCATTGTTCAGATGGTTGGGATCGTACCGCACAAGTTTGTTCTTTGGCTGCATTGATGTTGGACCCATATTATCGTACAATAAAAGGTTTTCAGGTGAGTTCAGAAGCAAATCCAATATTTCCTATATAATTGACTACTACAACAAAATAACTTTATACCCTAATTTCAGGCACTCATCGAAAAGGACTGGTTGGCATTTGGTCACAAATTCAGTGATCGCTGCGGTCACATACAAAATGATCCACGTGAAGTTTCACCCATATTCACACAATTCTTAGATTGTACATGGCAGCTGATGTCACAGCGTAGTGATGCTTTCGAATTCAATGAACGTTTTCTGCTAATACTACACGATCATGTGCATTCGTGTCAATTTGGGACCTTCGTTGGTAACTGTGAAAAGGATCGTTTAGATTTACAATTGGCCAAGCGTACATTTTCACTGTGGGGCTATATGTCAAATCATTTGAATGAATATATAAATCCGCTGTATAAACCCGATGTGGATGAGACAATTAAACCCAATCTGGCACCACAATGTATTAAGTAAGTTGGGAATGGGGGGAATTCGATTTAATCACTTTTTAAAAATGTTATATTTTTGTTTATTTGTGTTTTTATTAGATTTTGGCGGGGCATGTATAGCCGTTTTGAAAGCGGCGTTCATCCCCGTGAACCATTGGGAGATCTATTGCTTGCCAGTAAGGATCACACCACCTCGTTGGAGGATCATGTACAACATTTGACTAAGGTATGTCGTTAGATTTTTAAATATTTTTTTCGATAAAAATCATTTTCCTTTCAATTCCCACGAGATCTGAAAAAACACATTTTGAATTAATAAACCCGTAAGGAAAGTAGTAAAGTCGCACTGGACCGACTTATTACTGATCATTCTAGACTTAATTCAATACACTAAATAACTAAAGCCAAATTTCGTGTAAATCGAAAAATATATAGAGGCTTTGGCGCACCATTACTTTAAAGCGGATGAAAATATATATGTTAGCTATGTCTAAATCTGAACCGTTTCCACGAAACTTGACGCACATCATTGTAGAATTTCGTGCAAATCGAAAGATATTTAGGAACTTTGGCGCAACATTTTCCTTAAATCGGACGAAAATATATATGGGAGCTATATCTAAATCTGTACCGATTTTTACGAAACTTAACACACGTCAATCTAGACTCAATTCAATACGCTATGCCAAATTTCGTGCAAATCGAAAGAAATTTAGACACTTTACATAAAATCGAACGAAAATATATATGGGAGCTATATCTGAATCTGAAGCGATTTTCACGAAACTTCTCGTACGTCATTCTAGACTTAATTTAGTACGCTATGCCAAATTTCGTACAAATCAAAAGATATATGGGGACTTTGGTGCACCATTTACATAAAATCGGACGAAAATATATATGGGGCTATATCTAAATCTGAACCGATTTTCACGAAACTTAACACACATCATTCTAGACTTAATTTAGTACGCTATGCCAAATTTCTCGTAAATCGAGGGATATTTAGGGACTTTTGCGCACCATTTTCCTTAAATCGGGCGAAAATATATATGGGAGTTATATTTAAGTCTGAAACGATGTTCACGAAACTTAGCACACATCATTCTAGACTTAATTTAGTACGCTATGCCAAACTTCGTGCAAATCGAAAGATATTTAGGGACTTTTGCGCACCATTTTCCTTAAATCGAAGGAAAATATATATGGGACCTATATCTATATCAGAACCGATTTTCACGAAACTTAACATACATCATTATAGACTTAATTTCGTACGCTATGCCAAATTTCGTGCATATCGAAATATATATAGGGACATTGGTGCACCATTTACATAACATCGAACGAAAATATATATAGGAACTATATCTAAATCTGAACCGATTTTCCCTAATTTTAATGGGGTTCTTCCTTGGACCAAATAAATGAGCTATGCCAAATTTCATCCAAATCGGATGATAAATGCGACCTGTACTTTGTTTACAATTTAACATCAACAGACGGACCCTAATAAACCCACACAAACAAATAAAATAGTTTGGTTGAGGGAAACTTCTAATCGGTGAAAAATAAACCAGTGTGCTTATAAAATGTTTTCTCTTATTTTATAGCGTATTACTAGCTTTAAGAACTACATTTCCAAATCAGCAAAGAAAATCCAAGATGCTACATCCTCGAAATCAACAACCAAAGAATCTTCAGCAACGGATACCAATGATAATAAGTACGATATTTGATACCAATTCGAAATCTCAATCTTGTAACTGATAACATTTACTTTCCTTTCAGATATAATTATGATAAGAAAATGAGTGAATTATCATCGGCAGATGATGATCATCCCTTGAAACCTTCAGGTGGTAGTAATGGTGGTGCTAATACCAGTAGTGGTGGTGGTGGCATATCCTTTGCTAGTTTATCGGTAGGTCGTTCATATATGTACCATTTTTTCTAATTCTAATTGTCAATTTTTTTAGCTTTCCGATGAAGTTGATCCCAGTACCATACATGAAGAAATCAATTCGGTAGCTGTTGATTGGAAATCCATGCGCAATGTTACAGCCTGTTCATGCTCAACGCCATTCGATCAATTTAGTAAGAAAGTAGGTTGGACTTTCTTTATCATATAATTTCAATGTCAACGACGCTCTATTGTCAATAGATTTGTCCACCTTCCATTAACAAAATCTTCTTTTTCCTTTTGTTTCAGACTCACTGCTGGAAATGTGGTGAAATATTCTGTGAACGGTGTATCGATAAAAATATTCCCCTACCCGGACAGGATAGCGGTAAACCGGTGCCCGTTTGTCGTACGTGTTTTCGTCTGGTACAGAAGATTAGCCCATAAATTTATGATGAAACACAAATTGTTTAGTCAAACGGAATTCCTGTATCGCTTGTATACCAAGCGTAAGTCTGCTGTGTTAAATGTTTGGGATAACTAAAAAAGAAAGCAAAAAAAAAAACAACAAGTAAAAGTAAATATTTACACATATATATAATACAATAAGATTGCTTACTAAGGACGCTATTATTTGCCCGTTAAATGAAATGGTGGGTACCTGAAAGCGTATGTAAGAAGGTATGTTTTTTATGACTGTATTATGAAAAAAATAAACTGTATGAATCTTTTTATCTGTCTGTCTGAGTCTCTCTTTCTATTTCTGGTATTAAAAAATATACCACAAATAGAAACAACATTAATAAATATAATACAAAATAAGCATAATTGTTTTGTTGTGTATATATATCGGGTATACGTCGATATGCTTGTGTATAGCGGAATCAAAAATTAAAAAATGTAACAAGAGAAAAAAGGAAAATTTAATTTAAGACAAAAATAATCAAGTTATTATTATTATACAAAAACAATAATGAAATTATTAAATTATATATATTTCAAAAAATGCATTTTAAATTAAACAAAACAGTATGATCATAATTTTAATTAAATTGTTAGATTTGAAAGAACCGAAAAATTAAACGAAAAAAATATAAACTTCCTCATTATTGTTATTATTATATTTTTTATATATTAGACACATCTAAGAAAATAAAATTATATAATAGATTTTGTTTAATTTAAAAAAAAAAATCTTCAAATTTTTTGTTTATTAATTTTATTTCACGAAATTTGTTCAATTAAATGTTAATTTAAGTAGTTGAGTGTTTATAGTTCAAATTCGAATTATTGTTTTATTTAATTTCAATAGATATTTTCTAAGCACAAAAAAATAATAAAATGAAATTTTTGTTTATATTTCATAAAGGAATCGGTAACCTTTACAATATTAAAGTGAGTGTGAAAATTACTACAAATTATATAGTTTACTTCTCATAATTATTTTTTATCATTTTTTTACATTCATTTTTTTACACTATTAAATGTATCCAATTTAAAAAAAATTAAAGAAAACAGTATTCGGCAATTTAATGCAGTTTGAAATTATGAAATATTGGACATGTCGATCGGACGAAAAAAGTGGGTTAAACAAGTAAAAACTCTTTAAGTTCCACCGGACAGAACTTTTGCGTATTGAACTTTTCCACCATGTGATGTGAATGCAAAATTTCATGTCGGAATATATATGTAGACTATGTTAAAACATGGAGCTACATCGAACGACCTTCGAAAATATATTTTTTTCACCGTACGAGAAACCACATTGACAACTTACAGCCACGTCGGTATGCAAATTGGAGGGCGTTTGTATGAGAGCTATCGCAAAACATGGACTGTATTGAACATTTTCTGCAAAATATTTTGCTTTCTTCATGAAAACGGATAGCCGGCACTTTCGTAAGAAAATAAGTAATACGTCTAACACAACTCTTATTTTTGAGAATGCATTTATTTAATAAAAGTTATGCCTTAAAAATAATAGTTACAAAATTGATGATAAGAATACTTCTCTACTCAAGCAGGTCAGAAAAGGAAAAGAGCGAGGATGATGAAATGTCTGCAAATGTCAAACGATCGATTTTGCAGGGTTTGCCATAATTCACTATATTACAGTTCCTCTCCCATTAGATAGTCTTTCAACCTCGTTGAAAGATTTTTTTCTCTGCGGTCGACATGATGTTTCCGTTCGTTCAGTCTGCAGTGTAGACACTTTGTCATTAGTCGTGACAGGAGGGCTGCCTTCCTTCGTGGTCATTTCCAATATTTGTGTTATGTTTTGGTTACTTGTTGTTGTTGCCTCTGGGCTAACCACACAAGAACTCAACTAGTCTACATGCCTTGATTGTCTCCTACTCGACTTCGTAATTCTCAGCTCCCGTCGTTCTGATAGTACCTGGCACCCATTTCTCACCTCTTCCAAAATTAAGCATCCATACTAAATCTCCTGTATTGAAACTCCGATTCTCCTATACCCAGATTGTCACTTAGATTTTTTTATCAAATATTGTTCTCAGCTTCCTTCCCATCAATATACGGCGCGGTTCGTATATGTCTGATACCATTGGCCGACAAAAATGTTTCGAACTCATCGGACACAACATTCCTAACATTATCGGATACACTGGTGTCCGGTAACCCATGTGTTGCAAATACATCTCTCATTAATTTGATTGTTTTGTAGAGCTGATGTCTCTAGTTATTTTAACTTCTCCTCATTTGCTATGTGAATCAATAATAATAAGGAAATTGGTTCCCATAAATGGACCGGCATAATCAATATGAAATCTCGACCACGGTCCAGATGTTGCAGGTCATGGTTTTGGTTCGGAAATTTTCAGTTATTATAACTGTTATACCCTAGAGTAAACATTGGGCATTCACACTCAACTCATTTACCCAGGTATAATATGGCTTGAACTGGTCCGACTTTTTCATAGATCGGCATCTGTCTGTTGAATGTACCATAACACTTTTCAATCCCACGGCAGCGGGTTCTACGACACCGGATTGACCCGATTTATTTCGGCCAGCGGCTGCCAACCCAGTTATATATGTTTGTATTGTTTTTCTGTTTTGGGAGCAACATATCCCGGAATGCTTGCTCCGGATTCTTTTGGTCCGTGCCGGGATCGAACAAACCCCCGGACCGTGGTTCTGTTCGGTTTGCCAGAACATCATTCACCACAGGTCAGTGCCGGTGAGATGTAATGGGTGCAGGGAGTGGGTGCACTTCAGGAATTGTTCCGGGTTGGCCCGGTTGCGAGACTACAGCGATAGGGATTACGTTGCCTCGTGCTGCGACAGCGCAATCTCCAGTGAGTCTTCTACGTCGTCGTATTCTTCGTCGGAGTACGGAACTCCACCGCAGTCTCCCGAACAGCAACCAAGTATGCAGCACTTAACACCGCACGTTGCTGTTCCCTATCAGGGGTGGGATCGTTTCTGCAATTTAATTGCAACGGTCTTCGAGGAAAAATAGATGAGATAGTGGATTTCATGAATCGGAAGAATATTTTGTTCGCGGCGGTGCAGGAAACCAAGCTCAATGAAAATTGTAGCCTACAGCGTTGTGATGGTTACAACGTTCTGAGGAAGGATCGCACCAGAAGTGGAGGTGGAGGCCTAGCATTCCTTATGCACCACTCTGTTCAATACAGGCCTATCTCGCTTGAGCTTGACTCTAGTGACCCATACATGGAATGTATGGGGGTAGCAGTTAAATGTGGTACTGCCGAGGTAGAGGTGCTTAACGTGTATATACCGCCGATTAATAGCTGTGAACCGCGTTATTCGCCCAACATTAGTTTTCTATTGGAGGGCAATAACCGTCTGGTGCTAGGGGACTTCCATGCCCACCACGAGTTGTGGCATTCCGTCCTAGGTAATGACCAGAGGGGAACAGTGCTGGCAGAGCAAATTGATAGCTCCACGTTCTGCACGGTGAATGAGGATGCCCCCACCAGAATAAGGGGAGAGTGTCACAGTTCGCCAGATATAACCATTGTGTCACCGGGTCTGATAAATGACATCAGCTGGCAGCCCGTCATTTCTCTTGGATCAGACCATCTCCCCATAATCGTCTCCATCAGCAGACCGCCCGATTTCGTCATCTCTGAACGCCGCACTTTCCTTAACCATAGGAAAGCCAACTGGCAAGGATTCATTCCTTCTGATGTACGGGTAGCAGAAAGGAAATTCCGAGGCATCATCACTGCTGCAGCTGCTAGATTTATACCTGCTGGTCGAATACCCGAGATGAGACCCAATTTCCCAGCAGAAGCAGTTGTTCTGGCAAATGAGCGTGATGAGCTCCGTCGATCTAACCCAACAGATCCCAGGGTCAGGGAACTTACGTTGGAGGTCAGCAGATTAGTCGCGGAACACAAGCGGAATAAATGGTTGGAGCACCTGAAGAGTTGCAACATTGGTACCGGAGTAAGTAAACTGTGGGCAACGGTTAAGTCGCTCTCGAACCCTGGTAAGAAGGATGATAGGACCTCAGTCACATTTAACGACGAAACTGTGACTGATCCGAAGAGGTGCGCAAGTCATTTTAACCGACAGTTCGTCGAGCATCCCGAGAGCGACAAGGCGAAGAGAAGAGTACTTCGTCGTATAAGATCTCTTCCAGCCGAGGAGGTACCACCACAGTTTACAATGGGTGATGTTGCATGTGTCATCCGTAACGCAAAGTCATCAAAAGCGTTGGACCCAGATGGAATATCCATGTGTATGCTGAAGCAGCTGGACGAGCCAGGAGTCGAGTACTTGACCAACGTCCTCAACTTGTCGATAGCCACCCACGTCGTCCCCGAAGCCTGGACTATGGGCAGGGTGGTCCCGCTACTGAAGCCGGGCAAGGATGCCAGCAAAGGTGAATCGTACAGGCCGATTTCACTTTTGTCGCCAGTAGCGAAGACTCTTGAGGCTTTACTCCTCCCCAGCATTAGAGAAAGCTATCCAGTTGCGGATCATCAACATGGATTCCGTAAGCAACACAGTACAACAGCAGCGTTGCACGCCATTTCCACGCATATAAGTAGAGGACTTAACCAGAACCGGCCGTGCGATAGAACAGTGTTGGTAGCGCTTGACCTATCAAAAGCCTTTGATACTGTCAACCATGCCACGCTGTTTGAGGACATAGAGAACACTTTCCTCCGGCCGAGTTTGAAACGTTGGATAATCAACTATATGTGTGGACGCCAGTCGTACGTGGAGTTCCGGAACAAGAAGTCCAAACCCCGTAGAGTTAAACAGGGAGTTCCCCAGGGTGGAGTGATTTCTCCGGAACTGTTTAACCTCTACCTTTCCGGTATTTCACGCCCTCCGGGCGGCATTGAAATCGTTACGTATGCAGATGATTGTACGATTATGGCGTCGGGTCCCATTGTTGAAGACATATGTGTGAGGTTGAAAGCCTATCTCATCGATTTGGCAGCCTTCTTCAAAGCGAGGAATATGAAAATATCCGCCTCGAAGTCGTCAGCCACACTATTCACCACATGGACTGCGGAGATGAGAATGCGGTTGAATGTGCAGGTCGAGGGGCATACAATTCCGACCAC